GGAAGGATGGTCCAAGTACCTATGCAAAGCACGGCGGCAGGGAGACCGGATGACACTCCAAGCTCCTGGCTTCAGCCTGGCCCAGTCATGGCAGCCCTGGATGTTGAGTTGTCACTTGTGGAGTAAACCAGCAGATAAAAGATCTCTCTCTCCTCTCCCTCCTCCCTCCTTTCTCCTTTCTCCTCTCCCCTCTTTGCTCTCGCTCGCTTGTTCTTTCTCTCTCTCGCTGTCTCTCCTCTCTCTGTGGCTCTACCTTTTAAATAAAAGAAAAAACAGAACCAAGTGATGCCTTTGAGCAGCATGAGCATCAGTAAGGGGAAGGTCCATCCAGAAGATGAAAGACTGCTGTGGCCGTGGCCATGGAGTGTAGAGTGTGCACATGTGGCTGATGCTTCCAATGAGAAAGAAGGGGAAAACCAAAGTCAAGGCAATGCCCAGATATTGGGGGTTCCTAGGACCTGGGGGAGAAAGTGTAAGGGGGAAAGGGGCCCAGCTTAGAGTTGTTCTCCAGGTCCCAGGTCAGGGCACCCACTTCATCCCCTTCTGATTCTTGGACTGCAGTCCAGGGGCTGAACCACACCAAACCCAACATACTCATCTGTGAGCATGTAGAATATAGCCCCACCTGCCCCATCAGCTTCTTTGAGTCTAGGAGGAATTTAATTGTGGTTTGCACATAAAGACTTTAAAACTTTCCAAGCAATGGGTGGTAATAGAAATACATATTAAAGTTGCTTTGCATGATCCTGTGTGGAGAAAACAAATAGCTGTATTCAGTCCTCAAAGAAAACATCCACAGGTGAACATTAAGTTAGCTTCTCCAGCCACAATACCCCCACACCATTAATGGTTTAAAATGGATTCTCATGTTATATCATTGTGAAAATTTTGGAGCCAAAATTCCCCTAGGTAACAGAAGTATAAGCCTGCTTGTGGACACACACACACACACAGGGAATTCAAACTTTTCATGGAAATGCTGTACATATTATGGGAAAAGCTATTCATGGATTTCCATTTTTTTTTTTGCAGTAAAATAATCTTAATTCCATTGGCCACTAACTTCTTTAAGTACCTTAATATATGCCTATATAAATGAGCTTTGAATATTGAAGTAAGTTCTTTATTTGACAGTTATGCTGTTCTTAAACCAAGTTCCTTCAAGTATTAGACCACGTGGGCTCAACTCTTAAGTTATTTTTAGAGGATTTTGTGAGGTTCAAGGATTATTGCTGCAATATATGACTTCTTAAAAGAAAATTCTGGGAAATCAAAAGGATTATGGGCACAAAATTCATGAACTGGAAACATAAAAATGGAAAGAAATATTCCATCTTCTGAGAAAACATGCAGAATTATCAAATATAGGACACAAACCTACATTTAAAAAGCAATTCCTTATTCTGTTGTCAGAGACAGACTGTGATTGTTTGAAATACTACTGCTTTGTTCCCTAGCAATTTTACAAAATTTCCATTTTATAGTTT